ATATATATATATATATATATATATATATATATATATATATATAAAATTCAAAATAAAAATATTTGTAAGAGATTATTAGATTTGAATTAAAGTTTTGTTTTTAAAACAATACAGGAATATTTTCTTTTATTGTATTACATATAAAATTTCATATATTTTATTGCATTTTTTTTATTCTATAGATAAATTTTAATTCATTATCTGAAATATAATATATGGCATAAAATAATAATTAAATTTTCTTTTTATTTTGTGTTAATAATATAATTCTTATGTAATATATTCTATGATGCATTCTTTCTATTAAGAATTAAATGAAACTGTAAAAATTTTCAATTAGTTCTAAAATATTAATAATTTTTTGATTATTATCTTTTCTGTTTCAAAGTAATCAAAGAATGTAATTGTTGAGTCTTTTATTTTATAAATTTTTCCAATACTTTTCAAAATTTTATTTTTTCAGAATTTCAATTAAATAGAATTATTTGTTTATAAAAAATTAATTCTTTATAGAAACTAAACTTTCTGTTAATAATACTTTCAATGTTTTAATACTTTCTGTTGTTTTCTTATTTTTAAAAAAATGAAATATTTATATAAAAATAACTTGCTTTTTTTTCTATGTTTATTCTAATTTTTCTAAATAATACTAACTAAAATAATTATAACTTTTATATTTTATTTGAAAATATTTATTAAGAAATATATAATCTTTCAGAATTCTTATTAATCTAATACAAAATAATTATTATAAACTGATTTATAATTGTATAAATGTATTGATATATAAAATTAATTAAAAACAGAAAAGAAATAATTTAAAAATTAAAAACTTAACAAATAACTTTTATTTACAAAAATTGACAGTTTCATTCAATCCCTGATATTTTACAATACTTCTGTAACATTAAAATACAATGTGGAAGCACAATTATTGTTACAGACAAAAAGATGTAAAAGAAAGAGAACATATTTTTAAATTATAAATTTAAAAACAATATTCAAGCATAAATTATTAAAATTAAATAACATGTATTATTAAACATATGATAAATATATTAACAGTCTTTGTTTTAACTCTATCAATTAATAAATTCTGGCATTCAAAAGGAACTTATTGAATATAATGTATACAATACAATTATAAATAATAATCGCGACTATTTCAATTTTTTATTTCATATAAATAAAATAATTTTTACTTTTTTATACTAATTTAAATTTATATTATATTAATCTTCATTCATAATAAATTTAAAACTTTTGAATTTATTAGAAAAATAAAAATTATATTTATGTATATTATTTAAATATACATATATTTATTATATAAGAAGTTAATGAAAAAAAAAAATAATATATATATATATATACACATACATATATATATATTTTCGTAAATTTATTAATACATACATAAGAATATGAAAATATTTGAACTATATAAAATAAATAATAATTTACTAAATTATATAGTAAATTATTGTACCTTCTTTAAACTAACCAAGGGGAGACCATATTTTTGCAGCAGACCTTTATAACAAAAAAAAAATTATGTTTAGTATATAAATAAAATAATAAAATATATTTAATAATAAATTACTTATTATTACAAGTAAGTAATCCCGGGAAGGACGATCACATTTAATCTCGATTAAGATTTTATAAAATTTAATTTTATGATATAATAACATTTTTTACACAAATATTTTTTCATAAAATTTTATGATTTTTACTTAACATTGATTAAGTAATCGCGAATATATCTATTTTTTTTTATCACTTATCTATATTTGAAAACTATTTTACTTATATGTTAAATTATTATATAACATTTTCATACAGAAATAATATAAAGAATAAAAATAATTTTTATTTTATAGTAAAAATATTAAAGTAATATAAAAGTAAAAATATTATATTATATTATAATACATACCTTAGACATGAATGTGGCATAGTATTTACTTGATGCCATAACATCATTGCTAAAAAAATACTCCATGTACGTAAGGGACATAATATAGTAGCTAATGTTCCATATGCTAGCCAGAAAAAATAAGCCATACAGGTTTGCATTATAATTAATAATATTATTGGTAAATATTGTAAAATAAAACAAATTTTAGACAATTTATTATTTGGCTTAGTAGTATTTTGTAGCCTGTAAAATTATTTAATTTTTTAATTATTACATATATATTTCATATATTACATTATTTACTCAGTAATAAATATAAATATAATTTAAAACATTTGATAAAAAATTATATTTTTTATCTTACCGTTTATCTACTTTATTAGCTAGAATTAGCATTAGTGGTAGATGGAAAGAAAATAATTGAAAAAATCCATAAGCATAAGTAAAAGCACCAGGCAAAAAAGAATTTCCAATGAATGTTCCCCAAGCAAAAATTATACCTGTTTGATTTTCTATTACTTCACCAACTGCCCATGGACCTTAAAATTTTTTTTGCAAATTGAATATATTTTCCATTTGAAGATTGAAATAAAATTATATGTATTAATATATATTAATATTTGAAATATAACAATATTTTTTTAAGAATTTAATTTTCTATTTAATCATATGATTTTTAATAAAATTATACTCATTATCATTTTCTTACCAACTGTTAAATATAATGCATACAATACTAATGGAAAAAACAGACGATCAACAGTTGATAATATCCATAATTTTCTAAGCCATGAATGAAAAAATTTTATTCTAAATCTTGGTCGATGTATTTGCTTTCCTAATTAAAGAATATTTCAATTACAATTTATAATTAATATTAAAAATTTTACTTATATGTTAAATTATTACATAGAAATAATCAACCTAACATTTAGTTATTTAATAAATTAAAATTAATCTTTTTTATTTTTTTAAATTTCATATAATATTTTAGTGTTTTAAATTGTAATACTTAACATATTATATAACATGTAATTTACTCACTCTCACATAATATATGAAGAAAACGAAGTATACATAATGGAATTACTAATAAAACCAATACTGTTCCAAATAAGAATTGAAACTGTAGAAGAAAAAATCATATTAATATATAAACTTACATAAATATATAATTATTTCATGATATATATTATATTACGTACGATATTACTGACATTAGACATAAGTATAAGTCTAGGTAAAATGCGAAATGATAAACGTGATCCATCAAGAGCAAATGGTTGAAATATTGTTGTTTCTCTTCCATCTATATCTATAACTCTTACCTGTAATAATTTTTTTTTGTTATTAATTTTCAATTTTTAAATTGTTATATAATAATAATATCATTCATATATGGCTATAACCATTAAAATTGTTGAATTTATTAAAAATTTTAATGAAAAAAATACCATTAAAAATAAATAAACATATTTTACTAAACTCGAATAGTATGTATTCCTTCTCTGTAGTTTGTTGTATTCCATTTCAAAACATAGAGAGGTCCTTTAATATGTTCACATTCAAACCAAAGTTTATCATCTAACTGAACTTCAACAATTTTTATCAGTGCTATTGAAAATGCCAATATTCTACAGAATAATAAAAAATAAAAAATATTATAAAATTTTTAGTAGTAAATAGTTACATTTACATTATTCATTAATTATCTAAATATATATATTTCATTATAAAAAGATATTTACCTAATATGAGTAGATTTAATAACAGACATTATATTTTCTTTTCTAGGCATCATATATAAAGCATGTTTAGGATTAGTAATTAATACTACAGGCCATTCCTTATGTTTTACATCAATAAATGAAAATTGACCATGATCTATTACTCCTAAACGATACCTAAAAATGAATAAACACAGTAATATTAATTTTTTTAAATCAACACTATAATTATTTATAATAATATATAAAACAAGAAAAATATATATGCCTCTACTTGAAATATAATACAATAAAATATATTACATTCTATTATCTTTCCAATCTGCTAACTCTAGCTCAAGAAATCCTGCTTGTTGTAATGTATACATATTAGGCACTGCCCCACCAAGAGTATGATAATGCCCACAAAGATATACCATACTTTCTTTATGTTTACCTGATATATATATATAATATATGAATATATTATAAATAATATATATAATATATATATTTTATATATATATATATATTATAAATAAATATATATATATTTTTTATTACCTATAATATTTCTAATATTAGTTTGTGATAGTATACAGGATGTAGGATAGTGACCAAACCATATTATAAAATCCGTATTACTATTTTTGGATTTATTTACTAAATTATATATACTTTTAATTCATGTTCATCTAACATGCCAACAAAATTGAATGGTCTTCGCGGGCCAGGTTTTAAGCAAGCATCTATTGCAATAAATGTGTATAGTTTAGAACCAATATTTATAGTATACATATAAGATCTAGGATGCTTCTTTCCTTGAATAGAATAATTTGAATAATAATTATTTTTTGATTCAAGAGTTAATACATTAAAATTATCTGAAATAAATTTAAATAATATTGTATTAATAATTAATTATGAATATTATTATAATATATTACAATATACAATATTAATTTTAATACATATATTTTATGTATTATATATAAATAATAAATTTAAATTTTCATTTTATAAGTTTATGTAGATAAACATTATATATTATTATTTAGTATTTTAATAAATAATAATAATATGATGTGCTTCTTACCATGATTTCCTCTTACATCTAACCATAGAGTTCTTTTGCTAACTTCAGTATCATCTAAAATACGTTTATAATATTGCCATTCTTCTAATATTTGTTTTGATCCCATTTTATCTTTGGCTTTTGCATCTGTGAGATCACCTATTAAATTATTATATTACATATATTATATTACAAATATTAAAAAACTAATTTTATAAAAAATTATTTTAATGTAAAAAAATTACCTGAAGCAAGCACAACAGAAGGTTTTATGGTACCCACAGTAATATTACAAAATTCTTTTAATTCTGTTATTCTAAATGGATCTTGAAATATACTTATGTGTATATCTGATATCTAAAAATATGAAAAAAAGTGAATAAAAAAATATTTAAAAATTAATTAAAAAAAATTAATTCTTTTATATAATTTTTAATAATAAATATTTTTGTTATAAAATAAACATATAAACATACAAACCTGTAAAAACCATATTAAATGATCAAATGATGTTCCAATATCATAAAATTTTGGTTGTGACCATTCTTTTTTCATATCTGTATTATGCAAGGTATCATCTAATACATGATTATCAACATTGATCAAGTCAGCAACATTTGCTACAAATATTGATAGCATTAATACAAAGACCAAAAGAATTACAGTAGATTTCGTTATTTTCATTTTTAAAGGAATGTCCTAAATATTTTCTTTTTGAGGCTATTTTCTTGTGGAAGTTAACCACCTGTATATTTTCAATGTTTACAAATTTTATATATTAGGTTATGCTTTATAATAAATATGACGTTCATAATAACACCATTTATTAAAAGCAAAAAATTTAGAATTTCGGTTTTTCATAATTTTACGATTTTTCAAGATTGATTAATAATTATTATATCAGAATACAAACAAATTGAATTTCTGATCATTGCAGAACAGTAATGAAAAGAGTTGACATGTCTACGCATGGCAGTAACAGTGGTATTCATTCAATACTTAAATCATTAATATCATTACATCACATCTTAATCTAATATTCTATGAAATTTTCAAAAATTGTATATTATTGTAATTAATAAATTTATAAAGATTTATAAAACTGTTTTTATATTTTACTTTATATTTTTTATGGTTAGAATAAGTATTTTATATTGCAATTGAATATTGCTTAAATCATATATTTCATTTAATTATACATTAAAAATGATCTCATTTTATTTAATTAACAGAGATGTAATTTTGAGAAAATTTAATTAAATTTGTGGAAAATTCAATATTTATTAATGAAATGTTTTGTAAAAAATAAATCATAATGAAAACCACTGGAACTACCATTACTAATAATTTTCTTATTACACTGAGGCATCTGTGAATGTTGTGCAGTGTCAATGTGTCCTTCTTAGGAAAAATAAGGGTAGTGCTCAATAGTGACATATGTGGCTGATTTTTAATTGAAGCAACATAACGTTCTTCTTCGTGATGTTCTAATTTTTTTTCTCTTGACACTATTTGCAGCTACTTGCAACCGTACGTTATGTTTATTTTTTTTAATCGTTATTACATTTCATACTAAACTTATTTTATTTTTACATTTTAAAGAAATCAATTATACATTCATATAACCTAGTTTTACATAAATTATATTTTAATACTTTTGTAAAAACTTTTTATTCTATTGTATTGTTTAATTTATATAAATTAATGAATATTATGTACATAAATATCTATATATAAATAGACTCAGTTTAAAAAAAAATTCAATTTTTTTAATGATTAAACAAAATTTAATTCGTTTTTGAAATATTTGAATTTTCTTATAATTTTGATTAATAGAGTATATAGCTAATTAAGGTTAATCTTTTTTCGTTAATGAAATTCCTATTTTTGATAAAATGTTTTTATGTAATGTTTAATGTATTTATGCAGAGAAAAAGCATATAAATTGTAAAATATAAATCTTGTTCATATATTAAATTATTTATATATTTTATATTTATTTGGAGGAATTCGGAAGTAAAATTCTTCTTGAAACAGCACGATAAAAACGTGATATGAATATATACTTTGATGTTAAAAATATTCAACTTAATATAATTGATAATCTATTAAATTTATAAGAACTGTATTTTATTTAATATCTGATCTTAAATAATTTTAGTGAAAATGAATTTATGTATTTTATTATATGAATTTAAATTTATATTTTATATTCGTGAAATAGTACAAATAATTATACTTTCTAATATGTAATTAAAATATTCAAGATTATCATTTTTAAAATTTGAAGAAAAAATAATTTACATATTTTTAAATTTTAAACGTAAATAATAACGTTTTAAATTCAAAATGAATTAAATTTTTATTTTTCTTCAATATAAATTTTGTATATTTTAGATGGCATCTAATGCACTTGAGGAAAAAATAAATAAAATTCGACAGCAAAATGAAGAAATTAGAAGAAGATATGAGGTATATAATTCTATATTATATTTAATATATAAAAATTTATAATAAATTTTATTTATATTTTTTAATGTAATTATAAACATATAATATTTTATATTGTTGATAAAATTTGTTTTATAAAATTATTTTTATTATATTAGGAAGTTGAAGAAGATAAAAAAAATGCAGCAAAACTAAATGCTTTGGTACAAATGGTACCATCAACAGATTGGCCAGAAAGAAAAGAACCACCAGAATTTGTAAATCCCCCTAAAATTAAACCAAAATCAACCAAAGAAAAACATGAATATACATCACATTCCCATGCTGGGGAAGGAAAAAAAATTCATTCTTTTGCTCAAGTACATAATAGAATTCATATTATTAAATTTATTTTCTATTATATGTATGTTTAATAATTTGAATTTTAAGATAAAATAAAATATCACTTAGGGAGAGGGACCACCACCGGATCCTAAATACAATTTTTTAGCAGATTCTGAACGAGAAGAACCTAGTGTAGAATACATAAAAGAAAATAATGGGAATAGATCTCATCATAAAGTAACAAAAGGAAGTTTCAGAAAAAAGATTAATGGCAGAGAGGGTAACCAGAAAGTATGTAATAATGTTGTTTTTATAAATCTATTTGATCAAACATAAAGAACTTCATTTTTATATATAGGATATTAAATCAAATAAAGGAAATTACAGAGATGAATCTCAACCAGCATATGATGCTTGGAGAGCAGAAAGAAATCGTATTGATGAAGATCGTATTAGTAGACAAAGAACTGCAGAGGGCAATTGGCGTAGGGAATGGGATAATGATAAAGTATAAACAAATTTTCATAATATATTGAATTATTAATTATAAAAATTTAATTTCGAATTTAAATAAAAAACTTCATAAATATTAATAATATATCATTGTTATTAAATTAATATTTAAAAAATAATTGTTATTAATTTGTATTAATTTACAATAATATTATAATTAAAAATACTTTACATTGTAGGTACATATTATATATGATGCAGTAAAAAAATCATCAAGGCCTACATTAGGAGATTTTACAAAAAAGGATAAAGATTCTGATAAGAGATATCATGTTAATAGTATGTTCATCTGTTACTGTTAAAGTTTCATGTTACATAAAGATATTAGAAATTATTTTTTTTTTAGATAATGAACATGTCAATTACATTCGTGGAAATCATCGTCCTCATCGTGGAACAAAGAACTTTTACAATAATTATGAAAATCGGTCTTATAATACTTATGATCAACATAGAAATAATACAGCAATATCCACAAAAACTCCTGTTTCTCCAACTTCTGAAGAAAGAACTGTCATTGCAACTGATAAAAGTATTAAAGTCACAGTAAATCAAAGCAATATAACAAAAGGACCTGTAATGAGTGTTAAAGGTAATACATATATTATATTTATATCAAAATTGCATGCATTTGAGATTATATAATTTGATAAAAAATATAAAAAAAGAAAAAAGTTAAATGATATATTTTTTTATTTTTTTATAAATACAATAATGTATTCATGTAAATACACTATTTTTTATTCGAATCAATTTTTTGAAATATTCTTTATGAAAAAAATATTAAAATATAATATTTAAAAAACTTATGATTGGCATGTGCGCGCGTGTTATATAATATATGTATACATATATATATGATTTACATATACGTATATATATTAATCTTTGTGTAATTTTGATATATGTAAATTTCTTAAAATATGTAAATTTTAGTGAATTCACCAAGTATAGCCGGAACTGGAAGAGTTGGACCACGGCAAAGAACTCGTTTAACATATAGTCATTCAGATGTCGATACACCCTCCTCTGAAGGTGAATCGTTTTTCCGTCAAAAATCATTTGAAGATAAATCCAAAGGAATTTATTTTAATAATCAGAAATTCTCTAATATAAAAAGATCTCATTCACAAAAAAAAAAGGAAAATGAGACAAAATATCAATATCATTCAAAAAAAGATATAAAAAAGGAAGATAGTGATTCATATAAGCATTACGAAAATGAATTTAAATCTTATACACAAAAGGATCAATATAAATCTCATGCTATTAAATCATCAAAATCTTTAAAGGAAAATATAAAAATGACAGAAGATGATTCTTCAAATGTAAATGTTTCGCAAACACACGAAACTCAAGAATGTTCAACTCCTAGTAAAATAAAATTGGAAGAAAATGCTGAAATGAATATAGAACATAATGTTGAATTAAATATCAAATATAATGATGAACAGAATATTGAATATAATAGTGAAAAAAAAATTAAATGTAATAATGAACAGAATATTGAACATGATGCAACAGAAAATTGTTGTAACATTCAATCTATTAAAGTATCAAGTATAGAAAATGTGCAATCAAATATTGAGAATAAGATGACAAATAAAATATCATCGATAAAAGAAATAAAAATTGAAGAAATTTCTTTGTCTTCTATATCAAATGCAGATAATTTTGAACACATTACCAAAGATGATATCGATAAAAATAGCTTTGAAAATAACAATGAATGTTTAGATTCTCTTATGAATAATGTAACAAAAGATTTACAAGAAAGTATGTCTTCCGAAATATCGGTTCCAATTAATATTCAGTGTAATGAAAAACAAATATTAGAAAATAATGAAATATTTAATGATGTTATTGAGATAGATACAGATCTTCTGTATAAAGATGATCAACAAAAATCAAAACAAATTACAAAACAGTTTGTAAACGACTGTGATAATATCGAAGATGAAATTACAGTGCAACAAAGTGTAGAGGAGATAACAGATAATTCTGTATCTTTGTTGGAAGATAAAACACATTCTGTGATAGAAATTAATAATCAATCAGTATGCAATAATAAGTTAATAGAGAAAGAGCAATTAGTACAGAAAGAAATATTGAATTTAGAAAATACAGCAAAGAAAAATAACGTATCTGATAACAATTTAAAGGATACTATGAATTTTTGCGAAATAAAATCTGAGAATATTTTTAGTCCTGCAGATGGAAGTGTAGATGGAAATTCAATACAAGAAAGTAAAGATAAAATTGAAGAAATAAAAGAAAAAGTAAATGAAATAAATGATAAAATATTGCAATAAAAACAATATCAAGTTTTAATAAAATGTGTAATGAATTACACCTATACTTTTTGATATTAGAAACATTTCTATTGTTCATTATGATAAAAAATATTGTTTTAACGTATCATTAGGAATGAATTTTAAAAATTTTGAAAATACTAATAACTGCGAAATTTCTTTTAATAGTTAAAAATTAAATTGTTAATTTTTGATTTGATTTTAAAATATTTCACAATAATAGCAATACATTTTAATTGGTTAATTTATCATTTAACATTCATGAAAAATTAAAACATTTATTTTGAAGATTATAAATATTTTCAATAAAATATTTATAAGATAATTTTAAAATAATGAAAGAATTATTATTATTACTAAGTGATACTATTTGCGCACAATCGTCAATGCTATTTAATTAATCCTTTGTGAATTTACATTTAATCATTCTTTGTATTAGTATTTGCTTTAAATGAAAAATTTTTTTTTACATACGTTAATATATTGGAGATAATACTATTTATATGATTATCTTCTATTTTCATCTACAGAAGGATCCATTTTTATCTATTTTTTTCTTTTTTTTTTCTTCTAATATTACATTGTTACAAATGAAAAAAGCAATGTAAATATTTTGTATAAAATATTCGTTTTTGTTTTTTTATTTTTTAAAGAAATAAAACTGCAAAGGATTAGTACATTAAAAGTTAATCTACTACAGTGCTTTTATAATATATAGAAATTGACAAGGCCAAGATTCGTATTTCTTGATACTTTATATAAAATTTTACGACAATAGAATACTAACATCTGTTCAAATAATATGCGATCTCGAATGATATTTTTGTAATTGGCTCTAGGAATTAATTGTATATTGAAGATTGATATATGTGTACACAAAAAATGTTGTATACTTTAATATCATTGGAACTGTTGATTTAGGAAAGAAAAAACAGAAAAAGCAATCATTTATAATATTCTAAATATTATAAACATTAAACTATAGGCTATATTTATTTGTCTTTAGTCTAAAAACAATGTTACGTTACTTTATAGTTTATATAATTTATTTGCTTCTTTTTACTAAAAAATTATTTATTGCACGTTTTTTTTTATTATTATACGATATTTTGTTATATGCTTGCTTTATGTTTTATCTTTCATTTAAAATAAGATAGTAATGAGATGATTAGCCGAAAAGGATATCATTAAGTGTTGAAAAAAAAATTAAATTTTTAACAATTCAAAGAGGGAGATGATTTATAAAATATGAATATCTATTATTATTATAAGAAAATTTGAATATTTATATGTTTATTTATAATTAATAGTTTTCAAATTAATTAAAATATATAAATTTTCAATTAATAAAAATTAACATTTTTTAAAATATATATTATGAAATATATAATGATAAAATGTAATAATATTAAAATTGATTAATGAATAATGTTATTAATATAATTTTTTATTAATTGTATTTATTTTCTTTATTATATTATTTTCAATAATTAAAAATAAGTGCCATTATGATTTTTTCTTTATTAATTCAAACTTTCTTTTTTTCTCTAATTCATTATGGTGCCATTAATTTTAAAATTGTTCCTCAGATCCCTCTATATTATGATCCTCGACAAGATCGTTGGTTTCTATTAAATTTGGTGGTGCGTAATCCAAAGCCTCCATCATGTTCGTTATTCTCAACCACAGTTTTCTATCTGTAAGATTATTCTGATAACTTAAAAAAAAAAAAAAAAAAAAAAAAAAAAAATAAACAAATTGTTAGTAAAATGAGATATTGTTGTATATTTTTCCTTATTATATAAAAAAACTTATAAAAATAAAAATGTATTCAAATTATAATATATTTTTTTCATAATAAATTTTTGAAATAATTATTTTATTATTTTATATTAATATGTAACATTTCATTAAGACTTCTATTTCCAATCGAAATAGATTGGAATAAAATTATATAGCTTTCATTTGAGTAAAAAAATATAAAAATTAGATCATAATAAAGAATATTGTTTAGTTATTTTTGAACGAATTAGATATTTTAAAAACATTGAAATTTAAAGAGCATTTTTAATCCTATTATTTTTACTAGTTGGTTTATTAACAGATTAATATTTACGATAATATTTTTTTATTAGAGAATTAATATTTTTTATAGAGAAATATGATTTCAGGACATCAAAATATAATTTTACAAAATACTAAAATATCACACTAGAATAAAATGTTATAAAAGTTCTCAAAGATTAATTCACTATAAATAATTAGAAAATTTCATACTCTATATAATGAAAGATAGAATTATGCTTTAATAATAAATATAAGAAACTATACTATATAACTATATAAACTTACTTTGATTATTTCTGCATAACATTGCATAAACTCGTCGTATCTTCTAAGAGTCATGTTCAAAAGACATAAGTAACCCCACACTTCTGGATTCTGATTATTAATCCTGTTTGCTTCTGACAGGGATATTTCTGCTTCGTGAAATTGACCTAACTGAAACGAAATGATGTGTGTAGAAAAAAAAAAGAATTTAAAAATTGAAGACATATGTCAACAATACTAAATTATTAAAAGATATTATTATAATTAATATTTATTACTAAATGAGATTTTTCAAATTAGTAATATTTATTATTAAATTATTATTAAATTAGTATATATATAGTAATAAAATAATTTAGGAATATATATAAATACCTCATAACAACTTTTACCAACCCCTAACCAGGTTAAGCAAGAGGGTGAAGATTTGCATACACTCAAAAAAATTCTTTTTGCTTGGTCAAAATCACCGTGACTGTGAAAATGATATCCCAATCTATAATTAATGAATGAAAATATATCAATTTTATTATTTCATTTTATTTTATAATTTTGATATTTTTTATTCAAAATATCAAATTACTTATATACAATATAAGAAACAGAATGTATAAATATTATATATATACTATAAAGATTTTGAACAAATTAATTAAAAATTATTGTTTGATATTTTTTATACGATTATTAATTACCTAATTTCTACTAAATGCAAATCTTTAGGCCTATCGAAAAGCATACGCGCATGTTGATACAATTCTATTGCTTTTTTGATATCTCCTATTTTGAAATAACAGTGGCCCATTAAACTACTAATCGAATAATCCTGAATAGATTAATTAAAAGATATTAAAAAATTTGTTAATAATTTGTTTATAATTATTTATAAACGTAATATTTTAAAATTATTTTGTTTATAATTCTATTGCTAATTATAAGATATCCTGTATCTACTCATTATATTTTTGATTTTTTTTATATTTAATAAATTATTGATAAAATTTGAATTATATAAACCATTCCATAAGTGTATCGAATTTCCTTTAAATGAGATAATGCATCTTCATATCTGTTAGATAAATAATGTTCCACTGCCATATAGTACAAGACATGAATCGATCGATTGGAAACTGACATTTCTTCTGCTAATGCCATTTCTGCAAACTGAATATTGTTATATTATAATATTTTTGAAGATATATTTTATGCAAATTGTTTTTTATTATAATTTTTTTCTTTACTTCATTTTTTAAAACAAAACAATCAAAGATATTTTACCTCACAAAAGTGCAATTTCAATAAAAATATTACAACATTTATATACAAATTATTTTTTGGACAATAATCCGTGGACCATAAAAGCGGTTTTTGATCGAGTATTATAATGTGAGTTTTATCTTGCATACATTTCTCTGCTATACGAAGCGTGAGATCCACTCCTAAGATATGAAATATAATACTAAATACATTTTCATTTATTTGCATTTATTTTTTGATTCGTTTATTTGTATTTTCTTCTATATCTTATCTATTATATATTATTTTATATATTATTATTACTATTATTATATATTATTTTTTTTATATTTTAATCTATTATACATATATTTTCAAAATTTTTATCGTTAATTTTGTTTATATATATAATAATAATCTCATATAATTAAATCTATTATTTTATAAGTAATTATATTATTAAAAAATTTTTATACCTGGATAATAATCGGTTCGTATAAAGAAAAGATGTAAAATTGCCCAGCCTTCAAAGAAGCGTGGATGTAAATAGACAATAGCTCTCAAAAATATCTCAGCCTCTTTGTATTCTTTATTCTCAAAAAAGATTATTGCGTATATCAACAATCTAAAATCATTATAGTTTGCAATATAATATATGTTATATAATTATTCAAATAAAAATATATTATATATTATTTTAATTTTTTTATAAATTCTATAGAAAAATTATAGAAAAATTATAATGAGTGGTATTAGATAATATTACTTTACATACGCAATTGGGTGTTGTCGATCTAGCATAAGTGCTTCTAAACAGCATTGCTTTGCACTTTCTATATCACCTATTTTCTTAAGAAAGATTGCATATAATGTCCAAACATATGGATCATTTTTATTCGATTGTATCAGCTGGGAAAATAATAAGATTATTATTATATTTATAAAATAATAATTAAATTAGTATATCGAAATAATTATCGTTTTAATTATTAAAGAAATTAGTTAAATTACTATACTCATTTTAAATATTTTTTTTTTTTTTGAATTGTCAATTAAATTATATATGAAACAAAATAGGATGTACTTTATATGTATACTTTTTATGTATATATATATATTTTATATGTCTTCATACATTTTATATGTATATTTTTGTATTTCTATTTTAAAAAAACAATAAAGTTAATCAGATCAGATATCAGAATCATCTCTTGAGAATTTAAATTTTGTGGAACAAATGTAGACAAAAAGATCAAATTATGAGAAAAGGATAAGATAAAAATTAAGGAATCAAGATCAATTCTAAAGTATTGCAAATGAAACATAAATATAGATAAAAAGAGTAAATAATAAAACAAGAATAAGTATAAACTAATAAATGACTGTCACTGTCGTCTCTTAAATAACAGACAACTTTTTTAAATATTTAACAGATGCCGTTGATTTTTATCATATCAAATTTTTATCATATATCTCTGTACTTTTTTCTCTATTTGCTTTTTTTGTTCTTATTTTTGGCATACAACTTCAGATAAGGATTATAGGATTATTATTAATTTTAATTTTTATCATATCTTTTGAAAAATCTTTTCAAAAATATGTCTTATATTTTGAATGAAATTAAAAAATATGTTATTTTTTCAGACATACAATGTATCTTTAAAATGATGACTTTGCAAAACATACGTATTTTATATGATATATAATTTAAAGCCTATTTTAAGAATCCAAGAAAAATATATTTCGCATATCATTTCCTTTTTCATTAATTACATTTATTATTATTATTTCATTAATTATAATATATTTTCCTGATATAAAATTATAAAATTTCGAAAAATTTTTATTTTAATTTTGTCAATTTTTAATATTTTAATATTTTATAAAAAATTGCAATTATATTATATTAAGAGAATATAATTTGAGAGAGATTCATAAGCATATGCATGTTATATAATTAATTAATTATAATTAATAATTAATTAATTAATTAATTAATGATCTTTATAATTTACTTTTAAATAATTTTGTTTAGCTTCATTCAGATTTCCAAGTTCATAAGTTTCTTCAGCATACAAATATATCATTTGTATATTTGTACTTTTTTCTTTTTTATTCATCAAATCATTTTCATTGTTTTTCGTAAATCGACATTCAATTATTTGGTTTAGAGCAAGATGCATTTGCTCTACTAAATATATATATATAGAAGTGATAATATTCTGTGAAAATATAATATAAATAAGAAATTTAATATAAGGAAATTTAATATTATATAATTTTAAAAAATATATTTTTTTTTTAGTAAATATTATATGATGGTTTAATCATTTTGAAAAAAATTACAATTTTTAATTTTTTATAAAGGAAACTTATAAATAAATAATTAATTATTTTTTGTTATGTTGAGAAAAAAAAGTGTAAAAGTATAAAAAAATATACGTACATGAGATTCCTTAGAACCTATAAAATTTAAAGGCAATTTGAATTTTTGATCTATCAAAATAGGAATTTTCATTCTTAACGTATTGCGAATAGTTAAGTATATTCCAGTTTTATAAAGATATTGTTTGAAACATGTTATTTCATCCTGAAGTTTAAAGAAATTTAAATATATAATAATATTTTTATTACAAAGAATTATTTAGCAATCCTCTGAATATCTTAAATATTATCTTTTTATCTTTTTTCATGTTTAAACCAATTTTAAAACTAAGATTGCATTAATTAATAAATTAATTTTTCAAAATACTTTTTAATAATTTTAACATTACTAGTTTTGGATCGAAGCAATATGATTCTTGTGCCTTTTGACCTTTTTCTTTATTTTCTTCACAAAAATCCTAGCTTAAGAAAATATAAAAAATTCTATAATTATAAATATTTTATATTTTTATAATTTATATTTTTCAAATTTTATATTTATAAATTTTTGATAGAGAAAAAAAAATAAAAAATATAAAATAAATAAAATAAAAATAGAAAATTTTAATTCATAACATTGAACATTCTCATACTCGATAAGATTCTGTAAGAACTTCTGCCAATTTTTGAATGCAATGTTTATACTGTTCTTCTGCTACGTTATTAGAGTATACATAATATGGTTTTTTTCCATTTTGGATATTATTTCATCTATCCTATATTAAAAATAATTAAAAATTAATAAAGATATAATAATTTTATCAATTATAATTAATAATTTTCTCTTTTGAATGGAGAAATAATTTAATTTTCGTGAAAATTTTCACGAAATAAAAGTGAAATTATATTAATATAATAAAGCAGGATTCTTTGACTTACAAATATGTGAAATCCTCCTCGATTTTACAAGCGATCAAAGGTTCGTAGAATTCGATATCAACTACTACAATTGTAGGTTCCCCATTTTCATTAAATATTGGTTCCCTTTGATTTTTTGTTTCAATTTCTGATTGATTCGATTGCGAGTTATTCTAAAATTATATATATTTTTCAGTAAAATATTTCATTACTATTATTATTTTTTATTTTGATTAAAAAAAAAATGAATCCATAATTTAATTTGTGACTTATTATAATAATTTTATATTTTTTTTACCTTTGATTTTTCGACTTTATTTTTTTTGTCTTTTTCTTTTAAGTCTTTACGCGATAATTCGAAAACAAAGATATTTTGATCGATTCCTAACTTTTCCGATAAGTCTGTTGGATTATACGTATATAATTGGCCCACGGCTCGACAACTTGTTCCTGTACATAAAATATAATTTTTAACACGTTTAAAATTTCATAGACACGTATACTCTTATATTGGAATATAATAAAATTTACTTCCTGGAAAAAGTAGTTCCGAAATATCGATGTAACACTGATACAGCTGTTTCCTAGCCGATAAATCATTTTTAAATTTCATTGGCGAACCTGCTGCTACTATTTCAAATTGGAAAGGCCATAATTTGTGTCTGTAACACCAGTCATTTCTAATAAATTTTTTCCACACATATAATAATAATGATAAAAGTTATTTTAAATAAAAAAAATATAAATATTAATATAATATGTAATATAAATATAAATATGATCAAATATTTATTATTAATATTTATTAATTTTTATTATTTTTCTGTTATCTATTATTGTTGATTTGATAAATTTATGAATATATTATTATTTGTCATTATAATATTAAAAAATCAAATTGTAAAAAATATTTAATTTCATACTTTGTAATATGATCTCGTATTGTTTCAAGTCCTTTCTCCCATGCGACACAACGAATCAAAGAATTCCATTCTATTCGCGGTATATCTTGGGATATCTTTTTCTTTAAAAATTAATAATAACAATTGTCAATAAAAGATGCGTGTACTAATGCATATTAACATTTTATTCCTTTTTTTATACCGCTAAATCGAATTGCTTTTTGAATTCATTTTTAATTCCCATAAAATCACAGTCTAGTTTGTATTTCGATAATTGAGCACGGTTTTCTATGTAACGCAAAGTATTCCATCGTTTCGTTCTCTCGATATCGCGGTGTTTCGTCCACTTGCCTTGATCGAAAATTAAATTTTTTGGAATCTAGAATGAAATGTAAAAATCAATGAAATAGTAGAAAATATAATAATAGAAAATATAATAGAAATATTGATAAAAAATTTTTACAAATAAAAATATACCTCGCTATCGGTATACGCTATCGTGCCAGCTTTATATTTGAAATTATCCGTAAAAGTTTCTGGAATGTTGTATATACTTTCGACTGTGATATAGAGTAAATTAAACGCATTATTTGCATCAGTGATTAATGTTGAAAGATTAACTGGAAGATGATCTTGTGAGGCCGTTACTGTTAAACGTGGAAGATTCTGCCACGATACTAAATTACCATCAAAGAAAAAATTAGGCGTTTCTAGAATTAATTTTTCAGAGAACTCTTTTTCACCTAAAAAAATTTGAAATTATGAATTAATAAATTTGAATTTTCTTCAAATCTTTTATCATTAAAATTTTGCAATTTAAAATAAAATTTAAAATTTGAACATTTTGAACATTGAAATTTTGAAGATATGAAATTCCTGTGAGTCCTGAAATTTTTCAATTTGAAAATTTTTAAAATTGTTAAATATAAAACGAAAATGTAAAAATTATTAAAATAGAAAAAAGAAAATTTAATTCATAGTTCGCATATCTATATTATCAATTCGTTGGTTTCAAAAAATTATGAATATAATAATAATAATAATAAATATAATAAATAATAAAAAAATTAGAATAAAATTATTTTAATTACCTAATATAATTGGAATTATATCAAAATTACATATTCCAAATAATTTTGATGTGAGAAATAATCCAGATTTTGTGCTGAATATCGATTTTTTTTTATTCTCATTTTTCTTAAATTCTTCTGAAATAGATAGATTCTGAATAGATTCCTCATCATTTTCTATTATTTCTACAGCTTTAACTACATAAATATACAAATATTAGAAATTCATATATTAATACTGCAAGCAGTATTTTATCATATAACTATTAGATACATAAAATGAATTATAATAATATTGATTTTTACTTAATATAGGAATTGATACAATTGAATTAATATTTTCTTTATCACTGGGAATGACTGGTAAATTAACATTAAAATTGATTATAGAAATGGATAATTCATTAAAAGTTGATTTGATTAATAATGGATCACTCTCTCCCAAAACAGTACCATTATGTTCCACTATGAATAGCACATTTATATCCTCTTTTCTGAACTAAATTTTTAAATAATGTATTGTTACATATACATTGTTATACACACGAATTGAATTATTAAAAATTTTCTTTTTTTGTATAAATATTATTTATAATAAATTCGATATCGATTTTATACGTATAAAAATGAAAAAAAAATGAATATAAAATTATTTGTTTTCATACATAATATAATTATATATAATTAAGAATTCAAAATTTATATTAATTAAATATTTATGTTCATTTAAATATGTATATACATTTTTGATTTAAAGAAAAGGTTATCCGTTATATTAAAAAAAATTTTATATATTGCTAAAACTTACAATATTTTCAATGGTATGTAAAGATATTTTGATATTTTGTTCATTCTTTATATTTTGCCATTGTACCCATTCTTCCATTTTAGGAATGTTTTTCTGGAATATATTTAATAATATCAAAATTATATTCAATTCAATGCTTCAATTGTTTCATAAAAGGAAATGCGAAAGAACATATTTAATGAAAGATTAATTTCAAAAAGTAGATTATATAACACGATATTCTCGAATGAAAAAAATCGTTAAATTATCAAATTCGTAAATAAAACATGTATACTTTAAATACGAAATTCGTACATAATTTTAAATTATATATAAAATCGAGCGCGCGTAACTTCAATGTGTCTAAACAGTACAACGATCGATGCGGAACTGAGTTGTTATGAATCTTTTGATGACGATTATTTAATATGAAAGACGATTATAAAATATGAAATATTTAAATGTTATAAATTTCAATATTTAATATTGTATTTTTAATAATTAATAATTAATAATGTGTTTTTTTTTAGAACAAATAAATATATACAGGTATAATTAAAAAATATACGATATAAAAATAAAAATATCATAAAAATAATTTATTGCATAACAGTTAAATGAATTATACTTTTCATTAATTAATTATAGGATTCAATTTTTTTTTTCTTTTGTCTTTCACATAAAATTTTTTGTTCTTCCATATTGTACATAACTATTTATATATTTACAAATTTGTAGCGCTTTTTCTAAATTATAACAATAATTCGAAATAATTTTCTATAACTATATAAATAAATATAAAATATAATAATTTATAAAATTCAAAAATATTTTTCATATCAAATAATTAGTGATAATATTTTAATTTTATTGATAATTTTTTAAACATTGATGTTTAAACAAATTATTAAATAGCAAATTTATAAAATATTTTAAAATGAATACAGATTTTTGTCATTAATTAATAATTTTTATTATTATATCTGTTATTATAATATTTTATGTTATAATGTAAACTGTGATATATTCCAATTATTTGATGTTAATAATATTTGTAATATTATTCTTTGAATAAATTAAAAAAAATTTTATTTTTTGAAATGGAATCATTGCCACAAGCAATGCATACCTTTCTTTAATTATAATCTAATCATAATTTCTTCCTGCAACTCCTTGTGGAAGAGTTGGTGAAGTAAAAAAAAGCAAAATTTTATCGAAATTTTGCGAATTATTAATTAAATTTATATTGTTTATAATTTACTTTCAGTAAAAGTTAACAATACCATTTCACGCATATCATATTTTATTTTATTAATAATTGCAGCATAAAGACAAGTATTTGTTTGAATAAAGAAACGTGTAAATATTTGAAATTTTTAAATAAATCTTTTCTTTCATTCCGTAATTCATCTAATTAATTTTATGTTGTTAAAATTTATATCTAATGTCTACTGAACAATTACAAATTTAAAACATTGGAAATACCATAATTTCAGTATTTTTAATTGAATCAATAAAATTTTAAGTTTTAAAACTTTATATAAATATTATTTATACAAGAAAATTATTACTATAAATTATAATTCATTTAATTAATAAATTGAGCATTCTGATTATTGATAAATCATTATTGCATTATATTAATCTGTATATAATTTCATAAATTTCATTAACATAACTCTGTATAAATTTTTTATAATTACATGTTTCTGATTTCTCAAGAGACAACATTTCGAATAAGTATTATTGAAAACAATTTCTGAAAGTAACAATTACATTAATTGATAAATAAAGTATCCAAAATAGAATTGTAACTTTAAACTTTTTTATCTTTTATATTTAAAAGTGTGACGTAAAAATTATTTTATTATATTTCTTGTTTTTTTCTTAGAATAAAGTTTACATTTTATTATTGAGCATAAATTATTTACATAATGTGAATTTCATATATATTTAAATTTTAATTAACTATTTGTTTATTAACAAACAATAAATTTTTTTAATTTAAAAAATTATACTCCCGTATCAAATTTATCTGATATTTTGAAAATTATATTTTAAATTTTATAAAAAAATTCAGATGCAAAGCATTATAATAAAATAACATTGATTATAAAGTATTAAAAATTCACATTATGTAAATAATTTTTTTTTTTTGTTTCTAAATATGTATGCTGTTTATACAGCGGTATAAAAAAGAAATGTACGGACATACATCAGAGTATCAAAAAGTTTGAAACATTCAAATCAGTCATTTTAACAGAGCAATCATGCTTTCATCTTTCTTCCATTTGGTTTATGTGTCAAGGAAGAAAACATATGTTCGTGCATACAGGAAAAAAATAGCAATAATGTGAAAAAAATGTCTTTCATAATCTAGATAAAATTCTTTAATTTTTCCCCGTGCACGAAGATCGCATCGAATACGCCACTGAAACTCATAAACAGCTTCAATTTCATTTTTCACAAGAAGCAGTTTCGTTGATTGAACAAGATCCAGACGGCGAAGCGACATGCAAGATTACACGATCAATTATTTGATTAAAGGGCTTTTAAGGTTTTGTCAATGTGTCTTAAAGTTGTTTCCGGTACAGCGTCCGTAAGAGCTTTTCGAAATCCTTCGCAACGTGTAAGCCTTCGAAACATCTTTTTTGCATGATTTCTAAAAAATTATAATATAAAAAATATAAATCATTTTGTAAAATGTAATTATGGAATAATTTATATTTTTAATTAAAAAATATTAATCGATATTTTTACCTAGCATCCAAATTTCCATCAATTAATAACCTTGCACCTGTAGAAAGCAATTTATCCCTTACATCTTTTGGTAGAATTAAAGTATGCTCCGGTCCTATCCGATCGACTATCGAAGCCAACAATCTAGCCGTAGCAGCTCTTACGATAGCATTTTGATGGCTAAATAAAGGTATAAATAATTTTTTCATCTAATTTTTCAATTTATCGTTAATTGCATGAATTTTTTATATTCATAAATAACAAATAATTCACCTTGCACCACATTGTACGATAACCGTGATCGTTTTATGAGGCGGAAGATGTTCTATCATTCGATCCAATGCTGCATTACTATCCGATCGAAGAAATCGATTAGTATCTGCTGTTCTGTGTAACAATGATCCAGCTATATCATCGAATTCCTATTAAAAATAAAAATTCATATCATATCTAAGCATTTAATGAACACAAAATAAAATAATTTACCTGATCTATGCCACGAATCTGCGAGCTAAAAATGTCTCCGGCGGCTAAACATGCTGTTCGCGCCACTTGAGAGCGAAGACTTTTTATTTGACGAGCTACAAGTCGATTTATCGTTGCTGCAGCACATATGTCTAAATATTCGGGTTGTTGTTTTGCAATCTGGGATAATGTTTTTAATGCTTTCATAATAATTTCCCTGTATGAGAAATAAGAAATTAACAATTGTAACAATTAATTGTATCTATTTATTATTTAGTTAAAGTTTTATTAAATAATAAAAACTGAATATATAATATTGTTAAATAAGATAATAGATGCTGATTTATTTTATAAACTAATTTTCCTTTTTAATTATTTCAATGATTTACCAGTCTTTATTCTCAAGTTGAACAAAACATTGTTGTACTATTGGTTTTATCTTTTCCAAGTTTCCTTTGCTTCGGCCTCGCGAGCGTACTGAAATGCGAGGAACTCTTGAAGGCTTTCGTTTGGTTGTAGGGCCTGGTTCTACAGATTGAGTCTAGATATAAAAATTATTTAATATATTCAATGTATTTAAAATATTTCAATAAATTTTGTATAAAAGAGATTTTTTTTTTTATATTAAAGAATTATATGAAAATATTTAGTAGAAGATTAGCAAAAGTTAGGACGAAAATATTACTTCAATTTTTAAAATTCCTGGTTCAGTGTTCGTCTCACTGGAACTATCTTTATTTTGTCCATTTTCCAAATCATTGTTCTCACTGGATTCATTAAAAAACTATAAAAAAAAAGCAATAAAAATACGAAAAATCTTAAATGAAATATAAATATAAAACAATTTAAATATTTGTTATAATAAATGTGTTACCCTGAGATTTTCTTCTATTTGAGTACTAGTTTCTAGACGGTTTTCAATATAATTAGAAATTTCAGAAGATGAGTGAGGTCTAGAGGCAATAATGATGGCTGGTGATTCTTCTGATTTCGATTCTCTTCGCGATTGACTTAATTCTTCTGATTGAATAATATCACGCTGTATTGTGGAGGAAATATCTTTGTCTTTATTTAAATCTGTTGAATCATTGTCTTCGGATTCAAAATTCTGTAAAAAAAATATAATATAAACAAAATATACACTTTCAAAAGTTTATTTATCATTGATCTAATATTTAAATAGGTTATATCGTTTTCGATTCTATATCTAATATTATTATAATTTTAATTTTTATGTTTTTTAACTAACCAATTTATGTGGACTATTTCGAGAATCACATCTTGATGATTTCGACGTCTCGAAGTTAATAGAATTTCTACTTGATGATCGATTTGATTTTTGTGAACTGGCGGACTTTCTTGAAACCAATGTTTCTTCATTTTCAGAATCCGATTGTAAATTCTTGTTTGTCAAAACAGCTTCATTTATTTTTTCTATTTCATCAGAAATACTAATTTCGTTCTCAGTTTGATTTTCTTCGAAATATTCAACATGTTCTGAGTTTCTGGATACTGTACGATTTCGATCTTTAAATTTTAATTCTTCATCACTGTTCCAATCATCTTTGGATCTATCATCGTCGATAGATATATTTGTTACTTCTATTTCAGTTTCGATTTTTTTATCCAACGATATCTAAATAATAAATTTTTATAATTGAATTATAGCTCCCTAAATTTTATTTACATTTTTTATCATCAATTTTTTTTATTTCAAATAATTTTAATTTTGTTGTCAGATTTTAGATAAATATATACCTTATTCTAGTTTTTATTTCATTCATTTTATTTCATTTTTATTTTATTATATTATAATTAAAAAAATATTTTTAAAATATAAATATATAATAATATTAAAACAAATATTTACAAAATCGACTGTATCTCGACCAGGAGGACTTATTTGTCCGGTGATAATATTAAACGCTGTATCCACATTTTGTCCTTCAGGAGTAGACGATCTGAAATCACTATCATCTTGGGTATTCTGCACGTCTTGTTCACTATCTTGATGATCGTTATTTTCTAATGTTTCTGAGGATGAAAATTCTTGGTCATTCACTGAAAATTTAATTTTTCAATTAAAGGAATTAAACAAATTATTTTTTTCTTTAAAAATTAATTTTAATAATTCTTTATAAAAAAAATTGTTCGTTTAGACAGTTTAAACGTTACGGGTAAAGTATTGATTACATTCTAACGCTTTACACGTTCGTCCGAGGTTAAGAACCTCGCGTTCCAGTTCGTGGACTTTCGATCGTCCTACAGATCCTAAACGTTATTTCACTTTGCTTTTAACGATTAAAAGTTTACTCAAATACTTCAATGATCTTAATTCATTCCTTGTATTATAATTGTTATTTATATATACAATTTATTGATCATTTGAAAAAAAATCAATATCTTTATGAATAAAACAATATATATTTACATGTTGTAATAATATCAAATCATTAATATTGTATTACATACATGGATATTGTTTTTCCTTTTAAATTTTTAAAGTATTTTTGAAGCAATAAAATTATTTCTATTATTTATATATACCTTCATATTGTGTTTGAGCCACATTCAACGTTTTCCGTCCGAAATGATCATCTGGTAAAAAATAATGTTTATTTTTTTCGTTATGTTCTTCTTCCTTTACCGCTTTGTCTCTGGAACAAAAATTTTGATAATGAATAATAATTAAAAAATATTTGATTCCTAGTTTCTTATTTTAAAAAGGAAAATATAAAAAAATAGTATTGATTCATCATATGTGAATTCACACTATAGTTTTCTGAATACATAGCTATTTTTCTTGCATAAAATAATCTTAATAAATATCCAGGACATAAAACTATAAAGGATGTATTGTTTATAAGAAGATACTAACTTTTATTATATTACAAGCATATAGAATATTCAAAATTTTCAGAATATTCATTTAAAATTTGTTATTATTGAAAAAAAAGGAGATCAAATATTTTATATTTATTTTTTTTATTCTTGATTCATTTATAATTTTAAAACAATTTTTGTTTCAAATTCTCAAATTCGAATTATTTTAAATTAAATTTCTTAAATATCTAAGATAATTATATTTCTCATTTAAAACTTTCAAATTTCGCGAAATTTAAAAAACGTACATTGTTTCGTTACTATTCGATTTCAAAGGAATTACTGGTGTGGTATTAACCGTAGTAACAATAGTTAAAATAGAATCCTCCTCTTCCTTTTCAATGTCCACTGGTTGCCTGCATCGAAAAGCGCATGGACAATAACGAAGAATAGTATTTGCGATCTTATATTCTTTTTTTCGTAGATCACGAGATTCTTCGTTGAAATTCTGATCTCTTTCGATCGAATTCGATGCTTTATTTTTCAAAACTATGGCTTTGTCGCCCTGATTGCCCTCTTCTGGCCAGGCACAGTACTTAAAGATCATTTCGATTGATAATGTTTATCAATCACGATCGAAAGTCTTTGTCATGCTAATGACGCTGTTTGTATAGTTTATTAAAGTTATTTTTGTACAACATCAACTTAGCGCGCACGCGTGCATTCTTGTTTTGCAATTTAATGAATTTTTTAGGTTATCCGCGCTATAAATCCAATATGAAATTATTTCTTCCGATATGAAAGATTTGTTTAAATCATTAGAAAATATTAATTTATGAGTAATTTTATGAGATAATATCATATTAACATTTGTTATAATGAAAAATTTTTTTTCTTTTTTTTCATTTTTTTATAAAGTTTTATTAAGTTTTCGTCATACTAATTAATAAAATACGTTATCATCATGTAGCATAATAATCATATATAACATTTTTCTTATTTATTATTAAAAACACAAAATTTTATTTTTAACGAATCCATCTAATGAGATTTATATATGAATTAAGAAATATTTAATTTAATTATTGATCTATCCTAAAATAGTATCTATTAAAATAAATTATTTCCATTTCAAATCTATATAGTATAAATGATGAGTAATTTTTATCCAGATAGCTTTGAAAAAACTTTGAAATAAATATTAATATTTCAAAAAAATTATAAATTTGTGTTTATCTTTTTAAATAACGAATAATCATAATATCTTGTTATGAAATATTCAATGTGTATTTAATACAAATATAATTTTATAATGAAAATCTTTGAATGTTATAATTTATTAATAAAAAATTTATAAAAAATATTTATATTTTAATTTTCTTTTATTTTTTTAGATATTAAAATAATAAAAAAAAAAATTTGGATATAATAATTGTAAATAAAAATAGATATATAACATGTGTTGTAAATAATAAATTTATATATTAAAACGAATATCAAATAAAATAAAAAAAATATTTATATCAGTTAAAAAAAATATTTTTTAATATAATTTTCATTAAGTTCTGATTAAATTTCAATATCATAATACTTTATTTTTCTAATTTTTTAAATTAATGTAACTTTAATTATCTTATATTTTTAACACTATTGTTTTTTGTACAACATTTATAATAAATAATATTTCATATATTTTTATTATAAAATTTCCTTTTAATTGAAAGAAGAAAATAAAAGTATAAAAAATAAAATCAATTCGATGGCTATAATCGGTGCACACACCGATCAATCATCATAAGATGTAAAATATCGCGATAATTATACTGAAAGTGTATCACATTCGAACACATAATCGCGTACGATTAATTTTCGAATCATTTTAAATCACTTTAACGAATAAAATGAAAATGGTCGAGCACACGATCAATTAATTCTTTTGTTTTTTTAGAAAACAGAAAAAAGAAATCGAAAAAGGGGATAAAAGGAAATTCCAATAACGCGACAAATAACGACGCACGCACGACTGTACCCCAGCGGTAAACGTCGGCTGTCCCGATGCTGACCGTTGCTGCTCCCTCCATTCCGGTCACCCCCTCTGGTCCCCCCGTTTCTCTTCTAATGCCGTGATACTACTACTGAATGACTATACACTGACCGATCGAGTCCTTTCGGACGCCTAGCTGAGAACTTTATAAATATAGGCATTATAAATATAAAGTGAAAATAAACAGATATCGTAAATTGTGATTCTGTGTTCTTTTTTTTTTTTATTGTTTTTTTAATCATATCTTTTTGATTTTTGTACTTTTAATATTATTATGTTATCAATAAATCAGGAAAATGCTATAAAATGATCCATTATATTTTAACCTTAACCTTATGATTTAACCTTCTACTATGAACTTGCTATAAGATGTTTCTTATATGTTATATATGTAGATTTCATATCAACATAAAAATATCGAATTACTTTTGATATCATTATATTTCAAGTCACATTATTTTAATATTATTATAGTTATTAATTTAATAGTAGTATATAATATAATATTTATAATAATGTTTACATAATATATGTATATAAATCCTAATTTTTTTATTTTAAATTATAATCTCTAAATTATGAATTTTTATATTATTGATCTAACCTAACATGTACATATACTAATCATATATTTTGTATATATATAGATTTTTAACTTTTTGATCTAAATTAAATTGTATAATTAAATTATATAATTTTTTTAAAAATTTTGATTTTAATGAGTTTAATTGTTATATATTAGATTATATTCACGGCGTAATTATTCAATTTGAAATATAATTGCAAATTTGCTCTTTCTATTCTTAGAAATATGATATTCGTAAATAAATAAAATATAAGATTAAAGAAATAGCCATTATTGCTCATTTTCCGCACTGTATAATTATTTCTTAAAATAAAAAATAAATTATAATTGCTAAAATTTTTCAAAATTATTTTAAATTAAATTTATCATTCCATGAAATTAAACTCCATAGTATAAAGTAACAAATTAATTTTTATATAATTATTAATTTAAATTATTATATAATATATTAAAAATTATTAGTAAAAATTATGAAGTAATTTTTTCTTTAAAAAAAAGTTAAATTCAATCAATTTAAAAAACATTAATAACACCATAAAGAATAAAATGGCCATTATTTAAAGACGATTCAAGGATAAAAGATAAAGTTCTGACTCACGTTCATTTTAACACTGTGCTATGAAATCGATCGAGTAAACAGAATAGATTCGTTCCGATATTATCGATTCAATGTGTAAAGTTTTCTCTTGAAAAGTCATTTGTTATATTCTTAGAAATGTGTTAAGAAATTTCTTCGGTGTTATATATAGTGATATTATGATTGAAATATTACAAAAACTGTGCATTTGTCACCTTCCCAGAAGTATACTTAAAAAGTCATAAAAGTTGCACGATACGTCTAGCAATGTATCAATGATTACAGTGCAAGTAATTTTCCATGCATATATATGTGGAAATAATAATTTCCTGAAGGGACAATGGTAAAGAATAAGCAGAAAATCGACACTAATACAGAGTTACTGATAATACCACCATGAAATAGCGTCACTAATTGTAAAGTGAGATATAAAACCTGTAGATATATATATATATATATATATAGTTACGATTATCGAATTTACTTTGTACATTTCTTACAAGTAAATGTATAAATATCTAGAAACATTTAAATTGGTATTGGAATTCTTATGTAATTAAAATTTTTAAATTTTAAAACATTTAAAATTCTAAGTATCTAAATTATTGATATATAATTATGGATATATGAATTCTCGAGTATTCATTTAAATTTTGAATTCTTATCCCGACCATTTGAATTCTTATCTGAAGAATTATTATGTACTTGAAATCTTTAAATTCTTGTATATCTCTAAATTACTAAATTTTTTCATTCACTTGTTTCGAATTTTATAAATATAATTTGTTATACGATTATCAATTCTCAATTATCTATATATTGATCATATTTATATCGTCATAAATATTAAATATTTATAACTGTTTATAAATATTTAGAATTGTCTAAAATTAATTATTTATAATTATTAATAATCACAATTATTTATTATCTGAGATTGTCTATAGAAAGTGATTACTAGTATTTAGCATGTAATTAATTATACCTAATCATATTCGTAAAATAATAATTGCATATTATTTTCAAACAAATACGATTTAATTTACTATTTATGAATACGAAGTTCAATCTATTGATTTAATTTAGAATATATGCAAAATAATTAATAAAAAAAATTAAAAAAGAAAATTAATAAATATCATGCATAAATATATTTACACTTTTTTATTTTTAAATTAATATATATTTTATAATATTTATTTGAAAAGCGTAAAATATTTTTAAAGAATTAATTATTACTTACATATCGAACATAGATAATGCATGAACCTCGTTAGAAGTCGTTCTAAACTGTTGACGATGATATAATTGAGATGGTGATAACGAACGTAATCTTCTTCTGTAAGGAGTTTCAGTGCTAATCGCAGGAAAATATTCGCTAGTTTGAGCGTCTGATGATGTTAATTCAACATCATTAACTTTCTGAGCACCTACGTCTTTTGTTTTACGATAAGATTTCATCTATAATGAAAACATATCTTATTAATAATATTTAAAAAGCTTTGGCAAGTTGCAAAGTTTAAATTTTAATATATATTATAATATTTTGATGAAAATAATGATACTTACATATGATAAATTTTTATCATTATTTTCGCCGGTTCTAATAAAATCTATTTTACTGTATGGAGGAGTCTTTTGCAATGGCCGAAAAGAATTTTCATCCACAAATCGTCCTTCTCGATGTAAAGGTGTATTGTACCTAGAAAATTAATAAAACAAAGAAAAATTTATGTAGATATCACGTAATATAAAATATTATAATAACATAAAATTAATTTCTTTTATCTATTTATAAAGACAATACTTACATATTGTACATAATAAATGTTTGTGATTGATTATCATTTCTTGATGGTTGATGACTTTCTATAGAACTTGAACGCACATATTTAGACTTGATGTCAGATTTTCTCGAATGTCGATCTCTTTCCATAAACTTTTGATAAAATCTCGAGTTATTATCCAAAACTATTTGATTCGTATGTTCGTCGACATTCTATAATATTTATTATCATTTATTCTATTTATTGTATCATTCTTGTAATTGTAAATTGTATTCGATTATTATGTAATTATTTGTTAATTCAAGTGCTTACATTTGTATTACAATCTACATTTGTATTATTTAGATTCTTCATTGAACGGCAATTGTCATAATGCATACTTGTACTATTTTCTTGTTATTTTTTCTTCTCTGATACATAGTTCCACAGCTTCTATTAATTAATTCCATTATTTCCAATCTCTGTTATTATTCAAAATTTAATTCATTCAGAGCTGTGATTTTAATGAGTATTTTTTGATGATTTTTAACGATAGTTCCGAATTTAACTTTTACTTAATAAAATAATTTAATAAAAAAAAAGTACTTACTTGATTTAATAGTATTCATAAAATAAAAAAAATTCATTATTTTTTTTATATATCATATCGTATATTTTTTTATATGTTAATTGTTTAATATTTTATTTATTTATTTAACTTTTTCAAAAAATTCAAAATACGCAATTTCACATAAAAGCATGACGTGATCTTGCAATTATTAATTGCATATATTATAATTAAATTTTTTTATAAAATACAAAGATTATATATCAGCTGTGAATGGATTAACAAATATATAATTAAAATTATATAATACCTAATATTTTCTTCTTGAGAAGTTCCACGATTGCTAGAATTTTCCATAATATTCTTTGATTTTTTCCTCAAATTAACATTTATTAAATCTAAATTAGAAGATTTGTCTATTAAAAAATTATGTTCCGTGGATTTCGGAGCACTCTCTCGAGTATAAAATAAAGGAATTCTAGATTCTATTTTATTATTTTCCTGTAATGTTTTTTATTATTATTACTAACAATTATAAATTATTGTATAATGAATTATAAATTGTCATTGTTATAGTTATAATTGATAAATAAGAAAAATTAGAAAGAAACAAAATATTAAGAAAATTATTTTATCGAAGAAATAAATTTTTAAATATAATACTTCGTTAACTGACCATTATAAAAGATCAACAAAATTTCTGCATTTTCTCTTACTTTTTCAATTGTATATTTTATTATCATTGTTATTATTAAAATCATTTATTATTATATATGAAATTATTAATTTAAATTATAAATTAATTTTATATAAACTAAGAATATAATTTATGAAACTCACTCTCTTTTCAAAATTATTTTCAATAATATTACGATAATTCGCAGATTCTCTAGTAGTTCCTAGATTTCTCGTTTGATTTCGAAATTTTATGTTTGAATTGAAAGCATTACCTAAAGTGTAACAAGATAATTTAAAATTATTAATTGTTCTTATATCAAATATAAGAATAATAATTATATAAAAATATTATAGTTACCACTACAAATACTCGTATTTACGTTTCGATTTGTTTGAAAATTCAATTCATCTTCACATAGTGTATTCTAAATAAAAAAATAAAAATATGCATATACAAATACATATTAATTGTACATAATTTTGTATACATATATATAAGGTTATAACAATAATAATATAAATGTGAAAATAATTTACAAAAATAATTTACTGTATTACTATTTTTAAAATAATATTTTTTTGTAATTAATAATTAAAAATATTAACATACTAACCTGAAATATCTTTAAAAATTGGGTAAAATTTAGATAGGACATAATATTATTCGAACATCGTCGGAATTGATTATCATCGGTTTATAAACGTGTTCTCCACGCGAAATTAAAAATAACCCAACTCTGCGAATGAATTTTCTCATATCTATTTACTCGATAAACCAATAAAAAACAAGACAAATGGTATTTTCAACTCTACTGTACTGAATTCATCTACAGATATCACGATACGATTAATCGTTAATATAAATATTGCAAATCATGATTGTATAATAAAAAATTTCGTTTCTTTATAAGTCAGTTAATGTTAAAGTGAAAACTATGAAATGTGATAAAACCATATGTTACTTATATACATTGCAATTTAAATTCGTGCATATATATAGATCCAAAATAAAGTCATGATTTGCAATTTAATGCTCCGATTTAAAATGTTATTTTATAAACGAAGTTGACTTCACGGCACGCGAACGAACTTCAACAATAATAAAATTAAAGTTTTTTTCTCAAGTTTATGTTTTATTAATAAGGTCTTTGAAATTATTAATAATTCAATATATAAATTTTTTTCTTATATAATGTAATAAATTACGATATATAATGTTCTTTTAATGCTCTATATTAACTCGATTCTATTTAATACTTATTTAATATCCATATATGTATATCTGTGTAATTTGGATATTTGAATATTTGAATTATGTTTAATTATATGAAAGAACAAGGTTAAGGAAATTTAAGCTTTTTCATCCTTTTTTTCAAGGCAACATATTCTATTTCTATTATAATTAAATTAATATAATTATACAATTTTTATCCAAACTAATTCCATATAAATTAATATTAATTTATATGGAATTAGTTTGAAACTTAGAATTTTACCTGATTTTGTGATGGAATTATTTGCCATACTACAGGCTGTTCTGTCTTAGAATGCATACCAACTCCAAGTGCAACGAAATTTGATCTTTCGTTCCATAAATTCTCACGATAATTTGTATTTTCATTTCTAAAAATTACAATTACATCAATTTTCTACTAATTAAGTGATATATAAAAATTATTATTATTTACAAGAGAATTTAAAAAGAATTTTTAAACAAAATTTATAATATTTATTTGTAAAATTATAAATTATACAGAATAAGTTTTTTATATCATCATAATTTATGAAAAATACATTATAATAAGTAGCTAATTTTAAAATTAAATTATTATAAATATGATTATTTTTAAAAATATATAACTATAATTAGAGAAATGAACAATTGATTTAATGTATACTTCAGAAATATATAACTATAATTAGAGAAATGAACATGAATTGATTTAATGTATACTTCAGAAAATTACCTTGCAAATTTTTCTTTATTGGAAGAATTCTTCGTTGTTATAAATTGGCCTTTAGTACGTCCGATAGCAGGTGAGATTGAACCACTTCCAGCTACGATCCAATCGACATCAGGACCTACACAAATTTCATATATATTAAAATAATACATATTACCCGAATAAATGAAATTTATATTATTTTTTATATTTTATAAACAAAAGTAATCTATTTTTTCCAAACATTTTAACTGTAACTGTAATTATTCGTAAATTTTTTTAAAATTAATTTGATGAAGAAATAAAAAGGATTCGTCAGTAATATAATAAAAAAATATACCTGTAGCTATTTGCACAGTAGGTGAAATTTGTAAACCATATATTACAAGACCGTCCGCAGAGACCAGAGGCAAAGATTTTCGTGCCAGACGAGCTCTAATAGCAGACATCATTGCCTCTCCATCGTGATAACCTTCCGATGCTCGTTTTCCTGCTGCTAATACTTCCTAAATGTAGGATAAATTATATTTTATTATTATTAAATACATTATTATTAAACATTTTTCATAAATAATTTGTTTTTGCGTTTGTAAATAATTATAAAATTATTATTATTTTACAAAAACAATAAAATATCACCTCTGATTCATAAATTTGTGCTAAAACAGCTAAAGTATCAAGTGCTGCTTGCCGAACTCTGCGTCGTCTATCCCTCAACATTTTAGCTACTTTATTAGCCATAATGTCCACTTTGAATTCCGTACTTGGAAATGTTATCAACGAAAAAATTAACAATTGTAAGCAATTTTCCCTGGTCTAAAATATCGAAAGGATAAGAGAGTAGAATTATTATGAGAAAAAAATGTTGATAAAAATAATAGAGAAATCTCACCTTCGCATTCCTAGCATTCAAACATTGTGGTTGCAGAAGCTGTTCCAAGAGAAGAGCAGGCCTGAGCCTAAGCATCGCGATTCTGGCCAATTGAGCTGCGCTTGGTCCACCATGCCTTGCTAAACCCCATGCCAATTGTGGTAAACGTTTTCTCAAAGCTTCTTCGCTTACTCCAACTACGACTACCTGATGCCAATAAATGAGAATTAAGAACTTTATTTTTAACATGAGAAATCAGAATCACAAGAATTTGAATCAGAATACAAAATTTCTTATAAAAATAATATTACCTAAAAATTTTATTTTATTCTCTTTTCCGCTTTTTAAAATAATCATTTTTTATTTTTAAATCATATAAGATAATAAAAAAGTAATACCTTTGTTGTTAAATAGTAAAATATCATTCTACCTTTACGTGACTCTTAGGCAACGAGTAATTTATGGAACTTTTTCTTGTGACCCATCTGATATTTCAAGTCGTATCGTATCTTAAAAAGTGCTTAACAATTTAGAACTGCATTTATATTGAAATTTAAAAAATTTCAAAGTATAATTTCTAAACTATTTACTTTTTTAAATATTAGCGTATATATTACTGCACACAATTTAGGGTAGAAAAATTTCACACTCAACAATCAATATAAACAATATATCATATAAAACAAAAATAAAATCATTACTTTCATTATAAATAAATGAAATAAATCATTTGATCCAAAATGGAATGCTTCGATGACTCATATTATATTAAAGCAATGAGTAAAACAGTTAGATTGAAGGAGTAAATTTGCGAGTTACCTTCGCCACAGCCAAACCAGCAGCAGCTACACGACAGCTCCTTTCACAGCCTAGCACTGCATGCAAAAGAGATCCTAATCGGGGTTCTATCGCGATTAGAGCAGAAGACGTTCGCAAAGCGGACGCTACTCTCTCTAAACCTCTGACACGGGCACGCCAATCATCCTGGAATGATTATTTAATTTTATAGAAATATATACAATATTTGATTGAGTTAATCAAATTATATTTTATCTTTTCTCTTTTTTTTCTTTATTTTTTTAGTAAAACATAAATTTTTCAACAAAAAACAGAGAATATATAATGAAAAAAATTCTATAAAAGTATTTTGTTTGATTTTAAGACATTATATCTCTTATATTTATATCAACATCTTTTTCTATGTATGATCAAAATTGAATAAATGTTCGAATTCAAGCACTTGTGAAATAATGAAATTAAATTTTAATTTTGATACAGCTCAACTAGTGTTAAAAATTCTTTATATTTTGCTGAATATAAAAAGGAACAGTCAACAAAAGAGAAAAAAATGTCAAGAGTTAAAATAAACAGTTTCATAACTTATTAAAGTGAATTCTACAGTAATGGGAATATGGGAATGACTAATGATTACCGAGTATTTACATTGTAAATTTTCCGATCTAACGTTATCTAATTTTTATTGTAATTTTTTTCTTTTTTTCTTATTTTTTAAATATAATTTTTATTTATTTACTATTTATTACACAACAATTCAGTGTTATTCATTTTAATCTTCATTTTAATAATATGTAAGTACAAATTTCATTTCATACTTCTAATTTTATATATTCTCTTTTATCTAAAGAATAATAAAAAATTATTCTTCTTTGCCAAAAATATAAACTATATTATACATATATAAAATATTTATATGAAAAATGTTATTTATAAATAATGTCGTTGGTCAAGAATCAGCAGTCGTCGACTGAACATTATCGATCGTTGCAGCAAGTCTGAATGCAATGCACTGGTAATATCTATATTTGCTTTCCGATTTGGTTCTATTTACATGGAAGTGGCCAATATTCTCGACTTTTTATAATCAAATCTATTTATTAAATCTATGAAGAATAATGATATTATATGTCACATCAAATCTTTTTAACTTAATAAAACGAATATATCGTGTCTTTATTCTGAATTCATCAGATAACATTTCATGCCTTTTTTTTTTGCTTCAAGCTCTATTATCACTTTTTATTTAATTTAAATGTAAAATTATTATCATTTTTAGTTATAATATAATTATAAAAAAAATATAAATAACTGTATTCGATTTATTTAATTTCTAAATTACATAATGTTTAAGCGGATTAATATCTTTCTTGCCAGACTAATTTCTTATGCTTCTCCTAAGTAGTACATATAGATTGTAAGACCTAACAATTTTTTCTTATATCACATGCTTTATAATAAGTTTATATATATATATATATATATATATATATATATATATATATAT